TTGGGAAAAAAAGTGCGCCTTATATGCCATCAAATACGGTATCACCGCTTTTATAAAGTGGGGGGACATTATAATTTGTTTTAATTTTTCTTTTGCTTGCTTAGACTTTCGTGTTCAAAAGATGAAATTAACAAAATACTTATTCTGTACTTTCTGCTGAATGCCTAATCCAAATTGAAGAAATCTAGTAATATGTACTTTTTAAAAACATTTTTAAGGGCTATAAATTGTACAGATTGCTAGAAAATATGTATCTTAAATGAAAACAAATCACATACTTATACTACTGAAGTATTTTAAAATAAAATTGTTTTACTTTTATCATTTTATATTTTCTTATCACATGCTTGTATTACTGCAATATTCAAAAATAATAATTGTTTCACTTTCATTATTTAAAATTTTTGTCATGAAAGCTACCCCAAAAAAATTCATCTTGTGGATTAGATTTTCTAAAATCTTTCAAGATTCTATTAATGATGTACCTGTTTCATTCTTCTCAAAGTGTTTAAAAAACTTAATCATGTAATAGCATCATCTGAATTTTTGTATATTAGAATTTAGGAAGAAGTCTGCACAAAGTTGTCGAGATATTGACCTACATAAATAAATAAAAACTGCAATCCTAATAAATATTTAAAAAAAAAAAAATTATAGTCAACTTAATGTAAATAAAGTCATCCTTCAGTTATTGCGGTTAATAGGGGCCAAATTATAGTCAACTTAATGTAAATAAAGTCATCCTTCAGTTATTGCAGTTAATAGGAGCCAGAGCCAGCTGCGATAAGTGAAAAACCGCGAAGAAGTGTCACTCTCTCATTTTTAACATACACAAAAAATGTATGTATAATATCAACAAGCGTATATAAACTATATAAGAGGTGATGAAGATGATTTACTGCACAGGTTAATGAAAGCTTTACTGCTCCTCAGATGACACCTCATTGTCAGATGCTAGGGGCGCTGAATCATCACAGGCAGCTTCAGATAGAGCTGAGATAGCTGCAGGAGGCGGCGTAGAGGCAGCAGGAGAAGCTTCTGCAGAACATTTTTGGTGCACAAGGAACATCGCGATAGGGAGTTGACCATTGTTTTTTCTTCTGAGCAAAGAGGACCTTGTACAATGTCATTACACTGTCTATACGGTTATTGAATCCTATGACTCTGACCATGATGTCAGCGATTTCTTGGGGCTTTTGTTGCAGATTTTCCAAGGTAAGGCCATGTTCTTCAGCTTTGTTGTCGTCACCGTCGTCAGCTACCTTCTCTTCTACCTCACTCGCTGATCTATTCATTTCAACGAGTTCCTAGTCAGTTGGGGGATTCGAGTGGCACTCGATCAGTGTGTTCACTTTACTCAAACATTCATTTGAATGAGCGCGATCATCTTTCCTAGATACGAGAGCGAAGGTGGGGAAAACGTCTAGGCCAATCAGCTTTCGAGATTCCAGAGTCGAGAGGGATATCAAATGGTGGGATGCTAGCCAGCCAATCAGAGACATGGATTTTTAATTGTGTAGGCAATCCCTGCCTTCTGCTGGCGTGCAGGCAGCTTTTTCGCCATAATTCCTCAATTTTGAATTTTTTATGAGTATTTTTAAACAACCCACGGTGTACTGAAGCCGTGATAAAATGAACCGCGAAGTAGCGAGGGATGACTGTTGAATTCAATAGAAATGGCGATTAAAATATTTCATTAATCATACAGGTTGCCTTTAAAAAAATAAAAGATATGACTGTATGTAATGCAATTTTTCTATCTAATAAGTGTTTAATGTGCTAGTTTCTCTACAAAAGTGAGTTAATCATTTATTGTTTAATTTTATCAATGTTTTATTTTAGTTTATTTCTTTGATAAACCTTTATAAGGTAGTGAAATATTCACTTAACTTATAATGGTTTGCCCTGGAAGCTGTTCCTTTCATTCTAGTGCGAAGTCCATGACAAAACTATTAGCTACTCCATCATAAAACATTTAAATTACTTACATGCAGATATCTTTAGAATATTGTTCTGATGTTGCCATTCCTGAAAAACACAACTCTTTTGTCACCAGCATCCGTGATTGCTGCATCATTTGTAAGCAAACCTGACATTTATAATGCTCTTTCTTTGAAGAGTCCTTTGAAATTTGCCATGAAACTTCTTCAACGTTTAAGCATCTTTTTTTTTTAATAACAATTAAGTAAATATTAGTAATACATTTATATATTTCTTACTTGTCACTTACTACATTTCTATGAAAACTTTTTGTTTTGGCCCTGTTTATGAAAGACAAATTATCAAGTCCAAATAAATGCCATAATATAAATATTGCTTATATGGAACCCAAATGGAAACCATTTAAAATTTTTTTTTTTAAATGTTATTATTAAGATGAATCACTACGGCAATACAAGCTTTCAAAGAAGTAACTTGGCATCAGTTAAGGATTTAAGCACCTTTAATCACTACAAACTCAGCATCTTCATTAATGCTATACACCAGGGTTTCTTAAACTTTTTTCATCCATGATCCCTTTTTATCACTGAGATTTTTTCGCGACCCCAGGACCCCATAATATTTACAAAAATTTTGTGGGACCCCATAAGTATTGCACAAATCCTACACATGCGTGAGTGAAACTGTTAATTTTTTTCATTTATACTGTAATATACTATTGCGGTTTTAGGTCATTAACTTTAATTTCTAATTTTAAGACAGACCAACGTGGAAATTTTAATTAGCTAACAGATGAAATGACAGCGTCATGGGCAAGGCAAGGAAAATGAACGCTTATATTATAAAAAGAATGAGTCGAAACATTTTCATTTTTTTCTTTGTCTCTATTGTCTTATCTTTATCTATTTTCAGATACATTGTGTAAAAATATTTGGTAATTGTAAAATTATTATAATTAGTTAAAGAAATATCAAAACTGCTAAAATTTTTGGCTACCCACAATTTAAGAAACCCTGCTGTACATTCTCTTAATTTAATATTAAAAGTTTATTGCTAAGTCTAACAAGATATGGAACTGCTATTGTTTCATTCTTGAAGATATTAACACATTATGTGCCATGTCAGTCACCAATGACCGATATTATGTTTTCTGTTTGAATCGCATTAGTAATCAGTGTTTGATGGTATACTTTTCGTTCAGGCTACACCACTCACTGGCGACTTGGCTGTATACAATTTATAAAATTATATTCTTCTATCCATCGTACAATTTACAAGATTATGCTTTTCTATCAAATTCTACACAGATTGCAGAATAAAAATGGAAAAGAAGAAAAAGCAGGCTAGGCACTTAATGTGTTAATGCCATAAGTATCTGAGATACTTTTGCGTACAACATTGATATCTATATTTGCTTCAATTGCGTTTACTAGTTTTTTCTGGGGGAACAAAAATCCTTTAAAATTTCATGAAGCTAAAAATATTCTGCAATAGGAAAAGAAAATATATGTGATAGATTTGTAAAAAAAACTTTTTGATTTACAAATGAAATCAACTTCCTTAGTAATATCTCGGAATTATTACATTTTTATATGAAGAAATTCATTCACAAAGAAAGCTAATTATAAAGAATCGAAACTAGTACAGTACAAAGTCCGAAATCCGGACATCCATTATCTGGAATGATCTAAAATCCGGACCTCAAAACCACCAACAATGTTTTTTTCTCCTAGGCTTTATGCCTGCACATTTGATTTCCCCTCTGCGCATAGTAAAACATCTGGAGAGTGCCTGATTATTAATTTCACTTCAACGCTAAATAAAATACCCTGTTATTGAAGAAACAATCATCTTAGCATAAATTCGTACCATCAGTAAGTTTGGCTCCGTTGCCGCACATTTGCTTGACACAAATCTCAAACCGAAACATTCCACATAGATACATCGTTGATCTGACGCCAACCTGGTGAATAATTATTTATTATACTTTCCTTTCATCACCGCATGTTTATCAAAATATGACAACTTTTGCCGGCCCTCAATAAGGCTTAAGTATATGTGGGAATTTATTTATTCAGAACTCTGATAAGCCTTAAGCATGTGCAAGAAATAGACATAAGTATAATAAATAACTTATTATAAAATTCAGGCTTAGTTGTCTCTGCATGATAGAAACAAAAAGATAGATAAAATTTAACAGAACAACTTGTCATTAGTCACCAAGCTCATGATGCATAGCCAAATATGTACAGCGAAGGATAGCTAAATTTGATGATGATAGCCACTAATTTTAAAGGTTTTTGGATATTGCAAAACAAAGGTGAAATTTTCCAATTAATGGATTTTGTATAGAAATGTGGAGAAGCGGTAATAAATGAAGATGATATAAAAGAAGTATTCCATTGTGATGACAATGCTTCTCAGTCGTCAATCAATTAATGAATGGTGAAATTTGTAATATGATTCTAGATCCATAAAATACCTCTATCGTTAGTAAAGAAAGTGACAAAGAAGTTATTTACTGAAAACGAGAAAATTTCGATTGATAAGTTAGTCTGAATTCTCGAAACAGCAGTTACAAGACTTCAACAATGTAACTGAGATTATGTCTGTCTACGGAATTAAAAAGAAAGTACAACTTAAAACAACTTGCATTGAAAGAAATGTTTAATAAGGTAAACAAATAAATATGAAGTTTTTCTTTTTTTCTTTTTCTTTTTCTTTTTTTTTTTTTTTTTTTGTAAATTTTTGATGCCCTTTAGATCATAAATACTTCATTATTACATAAGTCACAATTTCACATTTTTAATTTTATAATTTCTACATGCCATTTTACTAGATTTAAACTGAGGGTCTAATATCTGGAAAAATCCCAAATCCGGAATCGTGGAAGTCCCGACGAGTCTGGATTTCTGACTTTGTACTGTATCAGTAAGTTGGAGTGTAAAGAATTAAAATTATCCTCTCTTTCTGTTGGTAGATACAGAGATATCAATATTAGTATCAATATTAGTAGTTGAAGTGTAAGAGTTAAAATTATCCTCTCTCTTTGGTGGTAGGTTACAACAGTCCTTCAGGTATATACTGCATATCCAATTCCAGTAATTTTAATTGTGGCCCCACTTTCATCAATGTAATAAAAGGTTCTGCTTCTGAAAAGGTGAACTCTGGAGTTACTTCAAATAAACTGGATAGGTCTAGAGGTCGTCCTATAAAAGTTAGAAAAGGAGTGTTTGGTATGTTTTAAATATTTTTTTCAATCATTTGAAGCATGTACAGTCAAAAGTCGTTAATCCGGACGCCCATAATCCGGAATGATCTATAATCCGGACCTCAAAGCTACAAACTTTCTGCGCATGCGTCAACGCATTAATGCGATGGTGCATGCGCATTTAATGTATAACGGATGGTGTATAAGCTAAGCTAAAATTATTTAATTATTTATTTCAGTTAATGTTGCAGATTGCGTTGTTCCTTAATCTTCTAATTGGATCTAGCTTATTATTTTTTGCAGACTGTAGAGCAATTTTGTAAAAGTAAGCTTGAACTTTTCATTATGTCAAAAAGAATTTCCGATTCTGGAGCTGCCAAAGGATATCTACAAAGCAAAAGCACATTTCGATTTCAATGTCCATCAAACAAAAAGTGGAATTGCTGCAAAAAATGGATAAAGGCATATTCTTTGTTTCTCTAACCATTTCGAAATCTGTTTATCAATTTCATGCTGCTCTGCGGGGCAGGGGAACGTTGCGCGCAATGAACTGGAAGTTGATCTGTCAGCACTATCCTTATCTTCAGGGCAGATGTTTTTATTTTATTCGGCTTATAATTCATTACTAAATGTAGTATTTCATCTCGATGTACTCTGATATGATTTAAATCAAATTCATTAAAAATATCACGAATACGCATCAAATAGTTTTCTGGTTGCAATTTTCTAATTTCGACTACGTGTAATGTATGCCGTACGCATGCGTGAGTTGAAAGAAATGTTTAATAAAGTAAACAAATAAATATTAAGTTTTTTTTTTTTTTTTGTAAATTTTGATACCATTCGGATCATAATTGTTCTTTATTTCATAAATTACGGTTTCATATTTTTAATTTTATAATTTCTGCATGCCATCTTACCAGATTTAAATTGATGATCTATAATCCAGAAAAATCGATAATCCGGAATCGCCGAAGTCCCGATGAGTCCAGATTAAAGACTTTTGACTGTATAATTCTATTGATAACACATATTTTGCATTCTTCTATTATTACTTGTTTTTAAATATTAAAAAAAAATGTGCTTTTTTTTGTGCAAAGCTTTATTGAATTTGTCATTTTATTTTTAACTCTTTTTACCTTATTGGTTTTAACTTATAGGTTATATGTCTACCTTTAAATAAAAATTTTAAAATGTTACTTTTTCCTGCAGGTCTTGATTAACGGTAATTATATATTTTAAATCATGTATTTGTGAAATGGACTTGTTTTTAGATATTGTGTATATTTACATACAGTAAAATTTTATCTCTGTTTCCAGATTCAAAGCGGATAATATCAGATGAAGATATACAAGTTGTATCTCAGTATATTGCAGATGATTGGAAAATACTCATTAAGAGTTTGCCTGGGATCACAAGCTATAGTAAGGTTATTTATATAAAGAACAAATTTATTTAACATATCCCCCATATTAATAATAATATTTAAGTGTTTCAGTCCATAGAAAAGATTTCAAATAACAATTTTGCATTTAGGTGCCATTATAAAATATTCATATAGCATTTTTTTAAGAACATAAAGTTAAGGGAAGAATATTAAAGAAAAACGAAGAAAAAAATTCAGGAGAAAGTTAACATTATTAACACTAGTGAAGTTAACTTTCTGCTTGACTTTATATTTTAAAGCTTATTGAAGTAATATTTACATCTTGCGTCTTTTAGGGAGATGCATGTAGTACTTTACATAGTTTAAAGTGGATTTCAACAAATTGACAGTACGTGAACGTGTTTTATCATATAGCACTTTTAACTACTAGTAACAAAATATCTAAAGAGCAGTTGATTATAATATATGATAAAATGTATATTTTATATTAATGAAATTGTGTGAGTACAGAAAAATGATTGCAATTAAATCATAGTTTTATAATCATAAAGCAGAATATTTTTTATAGCTGCATTAAAATAACAGATACTGTTAGATTAGTGGTTCTCAACTGTTTTTGCCTCTGCATCCTTTTCAACATTGCTAGATAAGTATTCTCCCCTTTTTTCTATTTTTTAATATCTTTTATGAATTAAACAAGAAAAAGTAAGAAAATGTTAATAAATACCAAAATGTGAATAAATTTAGTTTTTATATTCATAAATGAAACCAAATATTTAACAGATAAATAAAAGACCGATCGCATTTCCCTTTGAAACTATGAAATTCTCCCTGTTTGAGAACCTTTGAGTTACATAGACTGTTTTTGTGCGTACGCTTGTATATTATATGGATCACCAGTGAGCAAGTGGATACAACCACAAAATATCCTGTAATTAATTTTGTATTCAATACTTGGTGAACTGAGCAGGGTGTCTGCATAGAGTTTTTATTTATTCTTTTGTCCTGTGTTATAGAAATAACTCATCATCCTTGCTCTGTGGAAGATAGTCTTTGTATGATTTGTTAAAGTAATCCAGTCTATTTTATTTACTCTGTAATGAATATGGGATTATTTCCCTATCATATGTATATAGTTTTTTTTTCTATATCTGTAGAGCTGTTCAAAATCGCGAAATAGGAGACAGTTTTACTAATTTTTATGTCTTATATAAACTTTTTATTTTATAAGGTTCATTTTACATATCTGTTTTAATATTCACTAATTTTCATAATCATTCCTCATTTTTTTTTATATTTTTAAAGGTTCTTCTTTCCATCAAAGTTTAATTGATGCTTTGGACAGTCAAGATGATGTCAATTTAGCAGAACTAGCCTTGCTTAAATGGAAAGAAACACTTCCTCAAGTTTCAAACATCGGAAATTTAGCAAAAATTTTGTTCAGTATTGATCATCCAGATGTTGTCACTATTCTAAATCCATGAAACATTATAGGATAAAAATATATTAATGCAATTATATGAATATTATGCATTGCTTATTTGTTTTCATTATCAATAGTTTTATTTCTGTCATGAATTTAATACAGTTTTTAACTGTAAATAAATCAGTTTTGCAACTGAAATTTCTTCCAGTTTTTGGCATTTATGTGATCTTTGTATATGTGAAAATAGAAAAATAGGTATATCTTTTTTTCTGTTTAGATTTGGAAATTAATAATACTGTTTCATTATACTAGTCAGTTCCATTTAATTTGTTTTAATTGGTCTATTTTTATTTATGTACTTATTTTTACATCCGTGTATGAAGTAAATAAAGTATTGTAATCACGAAAAATTTCACTTATCATATTTTAGCGAAATCATCTACTTGCGGCTGCCATTGAATCCATTTGAATGATTATTTTGTGAGACATCTGTATGTACGGACAGAATAAAAGACTATTTTTCCCGAAACAAATCATAAAATGGATTCAGAAGTTATTTTTTCATGACATCTGTACATACATATGTATGTATCTTGCATAATTAAAGATGAGTTGCCATAGAAAATTGAAATTGTGTATATGGAACCGCTTTAACATGTAATTGTTGATAAACTCCCTTTTTCGTTTCAGTCAGATGCACCAAACACACACACATATATATATGCATGCAAGATAACAAATATATGAATCAAACTTATAATTTAAACTAATGGGTACCCTTTAATTCTTCCCCTCTGTTTTGCAAATTGTAATAACTTCTCTAAATTGTGTCATTTCTAGATCATTCCATTTTGCATGGCCTGCGCAGTGCTAATAATTGGGAATTGAAATTTTTAACTCAAACCAAAACCATTCTCTTTGTGTTCTTTTAGATTGGATAACTACGCAATTTAGCTTTTGCCTCTGTGCTGCTTAGATGCTGTTTCATTCTGCTCTGGCCCACCAGCGGCTGAGTGGTAAAGTCGCTGAACACTGGTAGTTCGGTCCGACGTTCGAATCCCGCGAACGGGCTGGCTGCATGGGCGTTTTCATGGTTTTCCCCATGTGTAACATGTATATGAGCCAGTTTCCCTTAGAAAGTCCTCCACGAAGGCATCCCTTCCCTTAGGCAGATAGCCCTCGTGTGCTTTGCCATAATTAAATACACCAACACCAACATTCTGCTCTGTGCCTATCGCAACAATATCAAAAATATAAATTTTCTTGAATAGGCACGACTAGAGTGCCTAGTGAACTATGGCCACAAATGTCAATTGCAAATAAAATTTGAATTAAAACTGCCTTGATTGCCAAGTTTTTTAGATATTACGAAGTCAACATATTAGCATACTATGCAATCAGAATTCTTCCGCTTCAATATGAATCTTACCAGGGTTGCGATGCTACCTGGAAAACCGGAAAAAGTCAGAGAATTCGAAAATTGACCAAAAAAGTCAGGGAATTTAAATATTCTAGTCAAAATCTGGAAAAGTCAGGGAATATCATACAATGATCCCTCCATAAAAGCGAGTTTTGCGCCGATGTCGGAAGCGATCGCTTTCTTGACGAATTGTGTATTGCGGAGCATCATTCGGACTGCTGGCATACAATCAATTTTCACAGCTCCAATTAGATTGTCTTTTAGAAAGGCAAAGCAAGTTTCCAGTAACCTTGAGAATCGCATGTGCAGTGCATGTTGAACTAAACAAAATACTTATTCTCGTATAAAACAAAATCAGTTTAATCCTAATATACTGTACCAGGAAAATTAGAATCAAAGAACATGCATTGTTAAGAAGGAAAACTTCTCTGCAACAGGAGTGGCTCTGTTCCAACGTAGAGGAAAACAGCTACGCATGCACGAAATATCTCGCCAAAGCTCGAAGCCGTTGTCGAAATTCAAAGGTCACGTTATCAAGATTTCATAAAATGAATTTCTTTAAACTTTAAAGCAAAAGAAATTATTTTTTGTGCAAGTAAATTAATTAATGGATTAGTTATTTTAAGGAAACTATGAAAATCCATGTTTAAATTATTGTGAAAAATAAAAAAAAAATTTTGTCAAAGAATGTTTCTTCTTAACTCATGTTCCTCAATTTCCTGCACATATCGCGGAGAGGGAAATTCTGGCCTCCAGGTTCCATTGCAAAATCCTTTGACGAGTTTTCCCTCTGCATTCTAGTGGCGTAATAGCATTACATGTATGGAACCTTTTCTTCTTTACATAAACGTTCTTTGGTTAGAATAACCATCATGTACAGTACACACGGGATATGGCGATATTATAATGAGCACTAAACGGGTCATTTTAGTGTTTGCGACAATTTTCAAAATCGTGCCAAGGCCTTACCACCGTATACTAGGATTTTACCATAAAATCTTTTAAACTTTTTTTTTTTTTTTTTTTTTTTTTTTTTGTCTGTCATTTTGCAGTAAAAAAAAAAAAAAAAAAATAGTAATCAGTCATCTACGGCTAAACATTAAATATAACTATATTTGCTAAAATATTGTTGATTATTCTAATTCAATTTTTAAGTAATTATCTGTAATTTTATGTTATACGTATCATTTAATGCTACTTCTTCCCTCTAAATTTATTTATTATTAGTAAATAATACTTTCAAGTTTCAGGAAATTTTCTCTGGCAAAATCCTGAAACTAATTCTAGCAGTATGATATGACATGCCATCATGAAATTTAATGCACATATTTTTTGCATATGTATGCTGCTGAATAAATATAAAATACCTAAATTTATTTAAAAATATCATTAAATATATTTCTTTCGTTTAGTGCAAAATGTCTGAAAAAAAAAAAAGACATTTTTGGATGCAGATTGAGCAGATTCTAATCTCAATCCTCAGTGGAGAAAACAATTCCTATTATAGTTAAAATAGTAATGCTTTGAGGATTATATATATATTTTGCCAATTACATTGTCGTATGTAATTGACAAATTTGCCAATTACATACGACTTATATATATATATATATATATATATATATATATATATATATCGACTTTGGCAAATTTTTGTATTCTCAAGTAATACTGTAATTAATTTACCTCCTAGCACAGCCAACATGCGTTACGCGGATAAACTGGAATTTTCTTAAAACACACCTGGAAAAGTCAGGGAATTTCATTCTCCTGTTTGAGTAGCAACCCTGATCTATGATATAGAATATCTAGGTATTACACATCAACAGTGCTCCATCTTTTCCTTGCAAATTTCACACACCGGGCACAGACCAATCCCCTTTTCGGTCTGTGTTGTTGAAGTAAATCCACTTTTCATCACAAGTGATGATCCAGTACAGAATTTTGTCCTTGTGTTGATATTCAAGTAGATTAATACAGGCCCGAAAAGGTCTGATTGTCTGCTTGTGCAGCACTTAGTGATATAACTTACACGTCAAGTTAATGAGATGCAAGTGGTTGCATACTGATCTTCTTCCACAAGTTCTTGCAGTCGGGCCTCATCAGCATCAGTAGTCAGGCAAAAGCGCTCTGCTTCTTGAATGTCACAGTCCTTGTTTTTGAACTTCCGGGACTAAAGCTTCACAGTGTCGTATGATGCAACATTAGTACCTAAAGCTGTTCACATGATTTGGTAACATTATATAGCTGACTTTTTGCGACAGAACTGAAAATAAATGATGGTTTTAATCTGGTGGCATGATAATAACACTCACCTTGTACTTGATGATAACGATATTTTTTATAAATTTCACAACATAGTCTCTTTCTTTCAAATGCCAAAAATTATTTGACAAAATATGATTAAACATGTCGAAATGAACTGTTTGCGCACACGATGCTTGAGCCCTGATGTATTTGATAGATGTATATGAAACCTGATATATTTGATATATATAGAGAGAGTGAGAATATTACAATAAAGAAACTATATTCATAATTCTAACTTTTGAGAAAATTATAAGACCAATTTCTTCCAATGAAGCACAAAGTTTAAATATCGTAGCCCCCCTTTTTTCTGTGAAATTGAATTATTAGGTTTAGATATACTGAAATAATGTAATCCAATTTAATTATCTTTTCTCATTCCCCATTTTTTCATCTAGATTTAATATCATTATTTCTAAAATAAAATAGGAATATAAAAAGACATTTTGCTGCATAGAGTGTGTTTTATCTGTTGTGTTGTAACCAAATGAGAACAATTTATTGCTTTTATTTAAAAGGCAATAATTCATATTTATGTAAATTTGAAGTTCCAGTGTAATGAAATGTGAAGTGATCTTATAATTTAAAAGATTATTTTTGGACTTCGTTCTAAAATCATTTAACTCAAAAATTATAATAGCTCTCATATTTAATATATTTTTCAATGTGATGAAATGAAACTTGCATATTATTTCATAAATTTTATGCCAAAATTATTTAAATTTACTTTCTTTTTAATTTCATTGTTAGAAATGCTAGTTTTCATTACAGGAGTTTTAAGATGCGAGTACAAAGTATTAATTATCAAGTAGCTGCAGCTGAATAAATTTAAAATTAATACAGCTTTTGCTTTTATTTTATTTCAGTACAAATTTAATATTGTGAGTATAAAATTCTTAATTACTTTTTTAATATATGCTAGTTAGTTAAAATAATTACTTAAAAAATGATAGATATAGATAATGATTTTAATGTAAATTCACAGGTTCATTTAGTAATTATTAATGACCAGAACTGACGAACTACATTGATTGTTTTTAAGTTGCTTTGTCAATCAGTAACAGACAGATTCAGTTTTAAAAAAATTAATGTCTTATGCTTTGCTAAATGGCAACCCACTTGTGTGTCGAACATATAATTTTATATCGGGCAGCGTCAACACATTTAAAAAGAAAATGAAAAACATGGAATATGTTGATTGGCGAAGGATTGCTGTGTTCAAAATGTAGTTGCACTAGGTCCCTTCTTTTTTCTGTAGAGTGCACACATGCATGCAAATTCTTCATTATTTAACAGTAGAGATTACAGGAAGGAATGTAAGAGCTGTTTAGCTTGAAAGATTGAAATTGAAATTCATGAATTCTGAAAGTAAAACTGGCCGACAATCATATTATGGATAAAAATCATGAACATTTTCACATGTTCAGCATACTTTTCCAGATATAACTTAAAGCTGGAAATTATCATATTTGGCATCTGGAAATGTAAAACATATTTCATTAATTTGTATTAAATTTTGTGCAAGTAATTGGTGAACAAAAGAATTCAGCATGTGTTGAAATATAAATGAACAGTATATTAGAAATAAATATATTTCAGATGCTTCTTCTGAAATGATAATATAGATATAAAAGGAATTTTCTGATAGTTTTCAGCTTGTTATCCCTGCAATAACCTTTTAAAAATAATTTTATTAATGTAAATATGCAGATGTTCTGTGTTGGGAAATCTTAAATATTCCAGGACCATTTCTGAGTGGATACTTAAGTATTCAAATTGAATGAATGGAATTATTTACAGTCTTTATTTTTTTATATATATTCAGGTACAAAACTTAAACAAATTTATCAATATATAACACAGACAAAATATGTAACTATAATTCAACAGTAACAAGTCAGCGACATTTGGCTATTACAGTAAGTTAACTGATGAAATAAAATATATCTTTACAAATGCATATATATATATATGCATAATTTTTTAACACTGATAAGGCACTCAGATCATTCCAAATTGTCATATAACAATCGTATCATAGCTACTTTATCAGCAAATCATCATTTAAAAACTTAATAGCATAAAGTATATGAATATTCTGAAGTGTCGTATTGTACAACATCATTATATAAAAGAGGAAGTTTCAATTTTTGCATTCAAATTAAATTTTTCTATAAAAATCACAGTTTTAATATTTTCAGTAAAAAATATCATTAGTTTTATTACATTTTAATTTAAATTTATTTTTCATTAATAATGAAGATATAGATAATGAAGAAATAGAAATAATCAGATAATATTACAGTATAGTTAATTATTATTATTTTTGGCAACAATAAGCTATGAAATTCTTATGTGTCTATTAATTATTTTTCCTAATGCTATTATCTATTTTAGTTCTTTTGGCTTCTGATTTCATCTGTGCAGATGCTATATAATTTATTTTTAATAATGTTTTCCTAAATCAAAAGACTAAGGTTATTTTCATAAGGAAACATAATAGAAAAAAAACATGGTTATTTCATTAATTTATCTTTTATTCAGTTTATTTATTTATCACTTAGTGTCTTCAGCAATTGCAACATTTACTTAACTAATGAGATAAAGTTCTTTTGTTTTTACACATTAAATATTTTGTTTAGATTTTTGTATTATTAATTTTAAAAAAATGCTTCTTTTCCTAAAAAAATTAATAGAAAATTTCTCTAGTTTTGTATTTGAACAAAATAAGAAAATTTTGTCAAAATTATTACTTTTCATAATTTGAAAATTTTGGAATTGTCATTACAAAGAATGTAAGAAATTACCATTTTCATATAAAAACAAATAATAAATAACATAAAATTTAGATAGAAAAGACATTTAATATATTATATAGTCAAGTTTAACAAAATGAAAAAAAAAAAAAAACTTGAACAATGAATAACTGCTGTTTTCTTTTTTATTATATAGTAATTTGTGTATGCCCATTAAAATTGGTGGCGTTATTAATATTTAGCCTTTTAATGAAGCTAAACCTAAGAAATAAGTTTTGCTTTTTTAAAATCTCAGTATTGCTAGAAATTTACAAAGTAACTACTTAATGAACTGCACATATTTTTGCAGCAGAATGTATTAAGCGATAATGACAAAAATGTTATTACAACATAATATTAAATATTTTTTATAAAAATTTAGTCAAAATAAAAGCCTAGTAAAGATATCACTCATGGAGATCTAGTTTGCCTAATTTGATGATAATACTTTACACCAATTTTAATTTGATTAGAAATTCAGTTTTATATTTAACATGTGTAAAAATAATAATTCTTAGAAGTATCTATCACATGCTACAATTAACAAATGTTTTAATTATACTGAAAATGGAGGGAGAGGGAAAAAGGTTATAAACTTTTTAATAATCAATAAAAAGGAATAATAACATTATTACCTCCATCTTTTTTTCATCAAATGAAAAAATAAAGCAGTGAAAAGAATAATGATTATAAATAATTTAACCATTTTCTTCATTGATAATTAAATCAATTTTATCACCAACAGAAAAATAAAAGATAATTGTGTAAAATTCATATAACAATAAAAGTGTAATTTGAAGTTCACATGAACTGAAAAATATATATATCTTTTATACAACAGTGTTCAAGAAATCAAATTGCTCAACCATAGAAAAAATGTGTAATTTCATTGTTGTTTCAACAAAATATACATCACAACCAAATAATTTTATACTGAAATTTAAATAAAAATAGTTGCTCACAGCTCTAAAATATCAATATATGGTTTGAGATCACTGAAATAAATATCTCAAAAAATAATCAGTAGAAAGTTGATAGCGTACAAGTTGCAATAAGTTTAAGCCTAATTAATTATAATATTTCTTGACTGTGTGTTTAGTCAAAAATATATAATAAATTCACCGTATTTTCTGACTTAAATTGCATTCATTAAACATTATTTTAAGAAAATATTGTTTTATTGTAAATAACTAATCACTGAAGCATAACTTTTGGCTAAAAGACATAAGATGTGTAATAATTGCCTTTTTTCCCCCTAGATCTATGCAGTTTTTATTATGTAATACATTAGTCATGAATTACATTGTGGGGCATTTCAGTTTCTCCTTTTCCTGATTATTCATAGCTGGGTATTGTTTTATAAATATAACAGTTTAATATATGAAAAACAATATAATATAAAAACAGTACTAAAAACTATCTTGATACTTACATTTTAACACAACCATAAGTAAAATATCATTAAATTTTTAGAATGCATCAGATTTTGAAAAATCTTGCACATAACAATTCTTCAGTTTTAAGAAACTGTCTCTATTTTTACATGCACTCTTTTTGCATTCGTAGTTCTTACAATTTTTATGGGTAAATGATACTTTTTGTCTTAACACTATTTCAAAATACATGCTTGTAGGATTTGCTTGCAATATAAGTAATTGCATTAAAATTTCTGCAGGAAATCGGTATATTTGCACCAAATTCACGAAAGTTAACAACTGCTTTGAATCTATTCTTTTACGATCACTGTGAAATTTCCACTAGAACAAAAGAAACAAGCTGAGTAAGTAAGCTTACAGAATGGTTTTTCAGGAGGCTTATTGATTGGTTTTTCAGGATAAATATGTAATTAAATGTAAAATATGTATGTAATAAACAAGCTGAGTAAGTAGGCTTACAGAATGGTTTTTCAGGAGGCTTATTGATTAGTTTTTCAGGATAAATATGTAATTAAAAGTAAAATATATATGTAATAAATAGTTTTTTGCAATTATAAATTGTTCTTTTATAATAAATCACTAAACTGCACAAAGGTGGTTGTGCTAATGCGTAAATAGCACTGCATTTTGTAATCAGTCACATTTAAATTGTCATCAATAACTAAAATTTTTATCAAGTAAAAAGTAGCAGTCCATTTTTAAATATGTACATTATTAAAAACACCATTTAAAATATTCATATTCTCAGCATTGTGTCTCTGTCACTGTGACAGAAATAACAGTTCAATTTTGATAACCTGGAAAAGAAATATCTAAATTTTAGATGTAACATGTTTGGATATATGCAGTTCATTCTGTGTCACCTGGCGAAGAGCCTTCTTCTTTTATACTCATATCTAAAGCTGCCTCAATATCGGTGCATTCAGGTTGGATTCCATTCTGAGAACCATTTTCGGAATCTCTGGAAAGGAGTGCTCTCTGTTTGCAATGACGCAGCTCATTTGGATGCCTGAGAAACCTAAAATTTCGCAAATTATTATTAATTTACTAGAAATGAGTTTAAATATAATGTAATATATTTGGAGAAATACTGTTTATTTTTTATAGAAATAATTTAAGACTTAATTATTCTGAACATTTCAACATAATCACTACCATCTCGATGCATTTGTTGGGATATTTTTCTTAATATTCCACAAAATCTTTTCTAAATTATCCAGGTGCTTGAGGATTACTTTCTCTCATCTCAGTGCTCGTAATTTTTTCCATACCCACTTATTAAATTTCTGGGAAAATCAGATATTTGGTACCAGATCAGTAGGAAGGGTAGAACTTTATTGATTCCTAATTTTTCAAAGAATATGAACAACTTGATTGTGATTATTACAAATGGCATATCCTTGTTTGAAGGAATGCATTAAGACTGGTGGTGGTTATGTGAATAATTATACTTACAAAGAAAGAAAACCGGATACTTAAATTAATGCAAAATTTGGGATTAAATGGATTTTTGCATCTTCATAAATACTTGAGGAAATGGAAAAAATAAAGAGCACATTATTATTTATACTGTGTATTTTTTTAATAAGAATTTGAGCATATATAATTTCATGAAAAATTGCTAATTTTATTACTGTTAGTTGCTCTACCAACTAATAATAATAAGCTTAGTAGAAAACAAATATTTGTGTGAATTATTTAAAGCTCTTATTATATACATGCCTATGCCTATTCGTGGCAACCAACTTTTTAGAGTAAAATTTCACTCGGTTTTACAATTTGGGAGGGGGGAGATTTATGTCTTTTACCGTCTACACGTGAAAAAATGCAGGTTGCACACTTTGCTACCAATAAATTATCAGTATAAAGCTAAAAGGTGGGTTCTGGCTATGGTTATTATTTTGCAACGTATAACAACAGTGTAAAGATTGTATTGGCTCTCCCAGTTTTTCTTAGAATGAAAACTTTTGCATATTGTAGATTGAAAGGAAATACATCCTTTACTCAGACAACTCACCTGTAGCAGTGTCTTTCTCCTGGTTCTTTTTGTAAAATCCTAACTCTGTAATAATAACGAAGAGCCCGTGACATTTTATCAAAGTTCATATTCAAATGATTCTTCTGTTTCCCCCAGAGAGCTGCCAGGCGATGAGGATCTGTTATCTTAAATATACCACGCGCTTTGTCTTTCCAAACTATACAACAGTTGTAGCGCTGGTGAGAATCATTCAAAAGCTGTTGTAGAAAGTCCCACAGAAGACGAACATCTGTAAGAAAAATCGTAATGAATCTAACTGAATAATACTAGATATGTGAATAACTCTGTAGAAAATACAATCAGAAATCATATTTACTTCTACTTACATCTGCAGTTACAATAAATATAGTTTTGTAATTCTCAATCTCAATATAACTAGATTACTTTAAGATCTGCAGAAAATCTATTTTCAGTATTGATTTGTTTGCACACAATTATTTTTCAAACTAATTAGAAAAAAATCCATTGCTGAATATAATGAGAGGAGAATAATTGCATAAAAGTACTAAACTTGATTGATTGACGAAATTCAGAAAATATAATACAATTGAAGTGTAATTTGTAAACTTTTTAAAAATATCTTGCCTTACGGTGAATAAAAATTCAAAATGAAAATGTCAATTTTAAAATTCTTACCTTAGAATCAAATATGCTTTAGTTTCCTCTTTTTTTTTTTAAATTTTAATCCTTTGGTTATTGATTGATTTTTGAATGATTATTGATTGATTGATTCCATCAGAAAATCGAATAAGATGATTATCCGATTGCTAAGTTTAAAGTTAGTACCGAGCTAAAAATAGGAATATCTTATATTTTTTTTCCAAGATCAAAATTAGAGTGTGAATTTGAGATTTCAGCTGTATTAGCAGTATGGATTTCAAATAGAGACTTATAGGACATATATGGGAGATAAATTGATATTCAAAATAGGGCAAATTTTTGGGCTCCTGGTGGCTGATCATTCTGTTCTAGCGCAGCAGATCTTTTTAATATAACGAGAACGACAGTATCCAGGATTATGCACATCCGACAGTCTGCAAGCCTAGTAAAGCAAAGAATGTCATCCAGTTGGAATAATGCAGAAGTAAAAAAATCATCTGTAAAGGATGTTAATAAAAATAAAATTTATAATAAAACATCGATTAAAAACTGAATAAAAAACATAAAACATGAACTTAAATTATGCAGACCTCAACATTATCTTTAATGCATTCATTTGTACAAAAACTGCTTGCTGGGAGTTTCAAGACTTGGTGTATCCACAATCGGGAAGCTACACAGCAAAGCATTTGATGAAAAAAGACCTATACTAAATGAGGGTTTTGGTGGTGTCATCGCAGAACCTCAACAATATAAAATGAAAAATTTTTACTGCTCGCTGTTAAGTTACTGTTCACTGTCTTTTCCACTTCTGGAAGCATTTATGTGTGCAGAATTCTTTTATAGAAATATGATCTGAACTGGCTTGTGTCTAGAAGCGAAGCATGGAGGTGGATTGTTGACAGTCTGGACTGCAGTATCGTGTGAGGTATTTGGGAGCACTGATTGTTCTTGATGATCTCATTTCTCTCAAGAATTGTTGATGTACATCAATGATTGTCGAAACTAGAGAACCAAGTCCATATAGTTTTCAAAAATTATACCCCGAAGGAGAAGCTGTATATCAGAAACAACAGTGCATCACTAAATACAATAAAAGTGGTGACAAATGGTTTGTAGAAAATGCACTTGAGCTTGAACATTTTCCATATCCTGCAATATAGGTATAATTAATCTCAGTCTATTGAATATATACGACGTGTGCCAAAGCACAGAATGAAAACATTTTTCTTCCCAATTACCATTTGCCATGCTAGATTGTCAGCTTAATTTTTTTAGATGCTTTTTTCAAACCCTTAAATACAAAAAATGTAAATCTGTTTTTAAATTTCAAAATTTGCATAATTAACATCCTAATTTATGGAGAAACTCTTCCTACATATTCAGTCTAGATCAACTTTACATATTATACACTTATTTGATGAATACATCTCTCAGAAATTTGCCTAATGAAGGAGTTTTATAACAGATGTGAATAAAATGTTACATACACATAGCAGGGACTTCACACAATAAAATCAGAAGAAATAAGCTGAGTATTCCAGTGCTTAATTTATAAAATTAGAAGTGCCAAAACCCTGTGGAAGGCCATGAAGAAAGATGAGCAAAATATATAAATAAAATAACTAATGAAACTAATAGAGTAGAATGGATAACCATCGCTGTTTGAATGATGGAATGAGTGGAGTATCATCAGGAGATTGGAAGCAGGGCTCTCTGAAGTGCAGATTTATTAGAAATTTAAATTTAACTCCCTACATCGAGGCAACTAATAGAAATTGTTTAAGGGGACATCTTAAAACCCTTAAGATATGAATATGTGAATGTTGCAAGAATTGGGATATTTTATTTATTTTAAAAGAAATTACTTCCAACTTTTTACTGCTGACCACATAATATAGCTGCTTTGGGAACTAGTCACCAGAAAGTTTGTGTTGCCACAAATAGTTTTATAATTTAATCTGCTTTGTGACAAAATTTTTTATGCTTTCACGTCATGTTATTCAAAGATCTTAAGGGTTTTAAGGTTAGTCCCCTTAAGAATACCGGATCCGTAGATAGAAAGCCTGGGCAAGATTGTCACTACGCCCAATGAAGATGGATATTTATTTATGTCAGCAAGGCATAACAGGAGTGCAACAGCTTTTCAGCTCTCTCATGACCTACACGCGGCCACAGAAAGTCAAATTTTAATGACTAGTGTTTCCATAAGGCTACATGAAGGAGGTTTGTTTGCAAGAAAAGGGCTGTTCGTATCTCGCTCATGTGTGTATATAAGACAGCTCGATCAGTACAGTGCAGAAAACTTTGACTTACAGAGGATAAGTAAGACAAAGGCCAAGTAAGAGTGGTGGATCATTATCATCACAGATATGTCCCAGTTCCTTATTGCGAAATACAGGAAAGAGATCTATGTTCACCTTTTTAAGAGTACAGTTTTTTGTCAGCTGCATCCATGAAAAGGCATAACTAGGGTTTTTCTATGGATGACAACAATCATACACATAGGGTTAATCTGATGGATGATTTTCTGGAAAGTGAGAATGTAAAGGGGATGAATTGGCTAGCCAAATCTTCTGACCTAAGCGTTATAAGAACATGTCTGGAATGTTCTTAGGAGAGCAACTGCAACTAACTTTCTCCGTCCTAGATCTCTCCAGGACTTGAAATTAACATTGTAGCAGGCGCGGGACAAACTGCCATAGGGACTCAAATTGTCTCATATCCGGTATGGAGTCACATATGACTGTTAGAGGGAGCTATACTTTGTATTAGCTTCCTTTTGTTCGATCTTGCAAATTCTGGTTTAGATCTTCTAGCATCCATCAGCTTTACGCATAATCTTGCATGTGTACTGTGACTGTTGTTTAATATACTTTTCTGCATTCAATTAAGTCCCAGCAAATTTCATTAAAATGTGCCCTAATCGACCATTATTGTATTATGTGCTCATTATTGCACTTTTACTACGATTTCCAATTAACTTGTCTATTTGTTCTAAATACAATTTTGCTCTAAAAATACACACAGAAGCACTGTATGTCAACATTATTCACATTTAATAAGGACATTTCGGTTTTTAAATTTCTATTTCTGGGATCCTCGTGTCATTTTGCATTTGAATATTTTTGCTTTCTTTAATAACATTAACGCTTATGTAAACCTGTTTCTACATGTGTAAATTCTATAGGTTTAAAAAAAAATTTCTTTTTTATGTGTCATTTCCTATTTACTGAGCAACTTTAGCTGTGTTTTAAACTTGAAAAAAAAATTAATGACTGTACTTTACATAAATTGTAGCTAAAGAAATGCAGAGGATATACTCACTTATTTTTTCAGCAGAATTTTCCACTGCATTATCACCGAATTGAGATAGCTGTCTTATTTGAGGTGCTGCCATAGACTGACTGGTGGTGGTTATGTTTACTGCTTCTGTAAGAAGATTAATATAATTTTTAGTTATATTCATAACAATAAAAAATTTGATGCTCAGCATGTCTAGGCATTGTACGGACTGTATGTCATCGTCTGGAAGACATACATTGTATTAAGCATCATACCAACAAAGTGATGTTAAGATTTTGTAAGGGAGATTTTTATTTTGTAATTGCTTCAGGAAGTAAAAAGTGTAGATTTTATGAATGGTATCGTACATACGCCATTCTTTTTGTTCTTTATCTTTTGTTTAATCAATGGGCTATATGAATAAGCCATGTTTGCTTTGATTCTGAACCTTTAGTTGCCAAAGCTGGCATTATCTTAATTTATGAACATGAGTGTATTATGCTATACTTTTCCTAGGCATTGTATATAACATAAATCGTTGGTTTGTAATTTGGCACTGTATAGAATATGGCAATGTGTGAAATGTTTAATAGTTTCGTATATTGGCCGGTCAATTTTCGGCATTCTGTAAAATGGCCAAGTATTTTCATACTTTAGCAGTAACAACTGTACCTTTAGATACAGTTTTAACTACATTATTAGCATTTTATTGGAGGAGTGCTCAATATATCACCATAGTAGTTTTATTTGTATGAATTAAAACAGTTCTGTAAAGGATATATTTAGGCATTTGCCTCTGAATATTAATGTGTGTGTAATGTGTAAAAGTAAAAAATTCATTTCATTCTGTCTTACAATTTTTATATTAAGGTTTAAATACTACACGTTTCTATTCGAAAATGAATTTTATAAAGGAATTTCGCCAGAAAGTCAGCCAAATTTTTTTCATTTCTAGAGTTTGAAACTGAAATGTGGTGATAATGTCCTACGTGTTCGGGAGAAAAAAGTGGATAATTTTAGTTTAGAGCTGTTATTTGTCAAACAAGAAGCTTTGCAAATGTGCAACGAAACTATTGAAATATTGAAAAGAGAGTTCTCCAACATAGTTTTCCTTCTAATATTTATTCGAGATATTTTTTAGAAATAAAATATTGAAATGTCTAGGATCTATACCTGGAGACAGAATTACGCTACTGGCCATTAAAATAGCTACATCAGGAAATCAAATGGCAGAATCATAATGTACATATGGAGAAAGGCATGATTAAATTTGAAATTGATTTGGTATAACAGCATGCAAAATTCAGTATACAGAGTTGCCATCTCTGACAGCAACAATGGCTATAATCTGGCTGGGCATCAAGTCGAACTGAACTTGGATGACAGCTACGGATGCTTCATTCCATGCAGCTTCAACTCTATACCAGAATTCATTAATCGTAGTGGCTGGGAAGTAGTGGTGGATCAGTCTTTTGACAAACCTTGCCTAGATGTTCTGTCCATAAAAGATCTAGAGAACATGCTGGCCAGTTCGAAAATCGAACACTCTCTGTATAAGGTCAGGACAGCACGGTCATCATTCCATTGTGCATTATCTTTTTGAAAGATAGAGAGAGTCATGCAAGTCTCCAAGAGAAGGCACAGTCACAAGCCTTAACACGTCGGGAATGTAATGACAGCTGTATATATTACCAACTCTGTGAATAAGAGGGGAACGGAATGTGTACTGAATGACACCCTATACCAGTATGCCAGGTTCTGGGCCCATGCAAGAATGCAAGCTGTCAGCATTCCATTTCCTCGCTACCTCTACAGACGGATACTTCCTTTGATGCTATATGCAAAACCGGGATTCGTCTGAAAAGACGACGTGATGGCACTCCTATATCCAGTGTCATCGAATGTATCGCCCCTCTAGGTGCATCTGTGCTGCATTAAGGAAAGTTCCAGCAATGATCGCTGTGCTGGCAGTCCACATTGTTGCAGACGTTTTTGCACTGTTCGTGCATAAGTGTATATTACCAACTCTGTGAAGTTCTTGACTCAAGTTGTGCGAAGTTGCTCTGCGATCTCGCAACGCCGAGAGGGTAGCATGTCTGTTCTCTTGGGCGTTAGTGGGAAGGGGCCGCAGAGATCCTGTATGGCTTTCAGTGTGGCCCTCCTGGAGTCGTCTATTTCATATTCGCTTGACAGTTATAAAATCCCCATGAACACAAATAACAATGTCACGGAATGATAAATCGCAATCCGGATAGGCCACGATCCTGCCATAGTCGAATTCTGACACAAACTGGTAGGAGTTTCTCCCTTTTAAGAGGCATAATATGACCTTTACACGAACAACCACTGTTTAAATGCGATTTCCAAATGAGAAACCCACCGTGCTTACCTATTTTCTTTGTATCCAATGGAATGCTAATCATTTGCATACCCCAGCATGTAATTCATTTCATGCAAATTTGACGTTTGTTGCATGCAGCCTTGATGTAGCAGCAGATTTAATGGTCGGCAGCGTATTTGTACAAAAACATTTTTTAGGAAAATTATAAAGCAAAATCTTAGTATCTGTTTTTATGCAATTTAATTAGACGATAATATATCTTTGTTTCCTATTCGATAACTAAGTAATTAAACTGTAACAATAATTAAACAGCTAAGTTAAATTTTATCTTCTTTTCTGCCATTATTTCTCGAAGATTATTAGAATTTCGTGAATCAATTACGAAACAATGAACAAAATTGCTGAAATGCACAAACCAGAAGAGAATCCCCTCTCGGGGCTCCTTTCGGTTTCTTCGTTGGCAGGCGGTGGGCTACTGGCCGTTGTACTATCCACATCACTACCGTTCAGATGGGTGACTGCTACTTGGGCATGTTCACTCTCGTGGATGACATGGCCCATATTATGAAAATCGCTGCTGATGGACCTTGGCCATGAATTACGTGAAGGAAAGGCACCTGAAATTAGAAAGAAAAGTGCAATCTTCATAAAATTACCACGAACGAAATTGTTGAAAAATCTGATAGAGCACCAGATGATTTGAAATGCAATATTTAACATCCTTTGGATTCTCAAACAAATCTATTTTATTGCAGGTTCCATGTTTAACAGCAATGCAATGCATATATTTACAATTTTCTTTAAAACTGTTTTCCTGATTTATTCTCAGCTACATCTGATATGGGCTCTGAACTTAAGTCGAATTTTCCATACAAAATTCCAGAATTCAAATTCCAACGAAGGCATTGCCCATTTTTCATGTTTTCTGCTTTGGCAAGCCAAATGATTCGACAATCTTAGGGAAGGAAAACGGACCGAAAAGGGCAGTTTTGCGATACTTAGCACGATATGCAGAGGATGCATAGTTTTCGAAAAAGAAATATTTATAGTGATAAGGCTGCACTTAAAAACTTACACTGATACACACACACAATAAAAAAAAAGTTTGTTGATTCTTTTAAATTTTGAAAACAAACCATATGTTAATATGCACCAACTTTGTAATATTCAAACTATGCATACCTTTTTAGGATTTTATATCTGAGATTCCCAACATTTTTACATTCTAGAATACCGTGGGCCAGAGTGCGTATTTAATTTTTAAAGGTGTAAATTTATAGTTTGACATAGTTAATAATACACATAATGTACAAAACGTTACTCAAAAAATATAATTTTAAGATAAAAAAATTATTGATTGCGTAATATGCTAAATAATACAGTCAAAAGTTTACAAATTCTTTGGTTTACAATCCTTTGGTATAAAAATTCTTCATAAAAATGCAATTCTTATAGTCAATGTGATATTTGAAATTGCATTTCATTTACCATCATTTTTTAATTAAAACTGCATGGTAATGTTCCCGCTTGTAAGCAGTCATCAAGATATTCATCCGTAAGTCGAGATCTGTGCTTTGATTTTGTGATATTCTTTTTTTGAAACTATGATTCACACCAGTATGTCGGACTAGAAAAACGATTTTGTCTTGTATGATGCTCAAGAATGGAAATTTGTTTCTGTCAACTACATTCCAGAAGTTTATATCTGGTACACTGGAATTGAGAACAATGTCATTTTGAGGATCTAAAATTTAAATCCAATTTTTCTTTCTTACTGGAAGAAACTGTGCAACGTATGCAGCTTTTTCGATTACATGTACTTGGCAAGTAAAAAGACAGATGAAAAAGGTAAAGGTTTAATATTTAACTGTTGCAACCGTTTTCAAGCAGGTCTCGAAATTATTTTTTCATATATAGGAAATGCACAATATTTTCACAATTTATTGAAAACTGAAATATTATTTTTAATGTGATCGTACAGCAGCGGGCACACATAAAACCGTCAACGGGCGCAACGGTTCCCGTGCACTTGGGTTGGAGATCCCTGCTCTATGTAGACTCTTTTACTGTTAGAATAGTATAATGGACTTGGACCATTTAGAACTACGTTTTGAATGTGTAATGGGGAAGAAACTAAATATCTTTTCACGTACTTTTTTTTAACAGACTGAGGATCTGTAATAAGTTTCAGGAACGTAAAAAATTCACAAAGCAAAAATATGCATCGATTTCTTTTTCAAATTGCATATAAATGTACTTGCAGTGACTTTTGATTTAAGTGTTACTAAGAGATTGCTTTATGTTCATTTCTTTCCTTTATTCCTTGTTGCATCACGTATTCCGTTAGTCCAGAGGTATACGTAAATTTTACGGCAAGCAACCTTGATTAGGAGAAAATCATAATCAGTTATGATTCTGAATAGAAGTCTGGCTACTGGTGCTGATCGTTATCGAGAAAGCCACCACTTGAAAGTAGAAGTGAACGCCTGACTTTGTCACGTTAGTAAGTGTTGAAAGTTAGTTGCGTTTTTTCTGTCCGACCGAGAGAGGTTGTAGTTTCATTTAGATTTACTGTAATAATAACCTAGCCAATAAACTGCAGCGTTCCAGAGAGTAGCTGCCAGCAAGAAACTGAATAACTCGCTTCTATTATAAGTGTAAGACTAAAAACAAGTAGGGAATGAAGTTTTATCTTAATCTTTACTTTTTGAATTGTACACTGCGGGGGGGGGAAGAGGACGGTTCTATATCTCCCGTTCTACTCTGCGGATTGACGAAATTCAACTTGCCGTTTTCATGTCTCGAAAGCGCGACTTAAGATTCTACACTTTTTTTTTTTTTTTTTTTTTTTTTTTTATTCTACGACTAAAATTATGGCAGACTGCAAAGTTTCATAAAAATAGCACAAGTAGTTTTTAAAAAATTAGCTCTCAAAATTTTAGCTCCTCCATGTTAATTGAATTTGGTATATATTTATCAATCTCTCTTTTTTTTTATTAAAACTTATTTATTCTTCTTTTCACATTTCGAAATTCACGTTCATTCCAAATAAAATTCGCCTATTTTTTAAGATTTATTTAAAAATAATTTTTATAAATTTTTCGAAAAAAATTTTGAATTATAACCTATAAAATTTTTACCAACGTCTTAAAGTAGATGTATTTCTAAGTATACCTGCTAAAAATTAAGAGTATTTTATTCAAAATTTCCCAAGATATACGTGAATTTATGTATTGGCGCGTATTTGTTGAAACCGATAAAACATCAAATGCGATTTAAGCACTTTGTTAAAATTATTTGAAAGTAGGAACGATGTCACTTCCCCCCCTCGTGCACAGTGTAAAAAGGGAAAGGAAAATAGGTTGCCATAAATTAAGAAGTTCGTCAAGTGAATTATTCTTGGCGCAAAGTGGAAAAAATACGCCAAGATAAATTTTTGAATTTCTCCGTAAATTTCGCACCAAATTTTACATAATGTAATATTTAGGCATAATTTTAATCGTTGAATCGAAATATGGAAAACAATTGTCGTGTCATTTCAGGAAAAGTCCGATTTTGTGTCAAAATCCCTATGTTAGAACAATGCTGTATATAAATATAATACATATCCCAAGTCGCGCTTTCGAAACATGAAAAACGCAATTTGAATTTCGTTAATCGACCGGGTAGAACGAGGGATATACGAGTAGAACTGTCCTTATCCCCCTGCAGTGTACCCTCGTGTTCATAGAAAATAGTATAAAAGGTGATAACTCTCCATCCAATAAGTTAATTTCTAAAGGTTAGTCAGTTATATTGCAAGTACTAATTCAGAAGTCAAACAACAAAAATCAGCGTTATATTCACAAAATTTTCACAGTGAAAATTTTGTGAATATAACGCTGATTTTTGTTGTTTGACTTCTGAATTAGTATTTGTTCGGCGTGTTATTGTGTCTTAATTATATTGCAAGTAGTTTGATTAAATAATTAAACAGCTGTAGAGGTTATAAACTCACTTTTGTCCTGAGTAGCATGTTGCAGCAGAGATGCAGATATGTTTTGAGGAATAGCAGCATTGTTGTTTGCTGTGGTCTCTTTACTACGCAGTAATATCTGGAGGGCGTTATAAAGAACATCCCCGCATCGAGGAGCTCTTTCGCACAGATCATTTTTCTTCAAAAGACATAAGCCTCGGCCTGGAAAGCAATTATTAAAATTTAAATGTTATTAAAATTGAAAGATTTTTCGAAACTCACAGTATATTTAAAAGGGTAAGTTTTAGCTTATATAGAATATCCAAAAATAAGTTTTCGCTTTTTGAATGTTAACAATGGAAAATGTTAAAGATAACATTTTGTGTTCACGATTTGCAATGTCAACGTTGAGTATGTGTTAGCATATATGCATTCTGTCGTTTTTGTTTTATGTTTTATTACAGTCCGCTAGTAGGCTGGTATTAAAGTACAATAAATAGCAAAGCTGAGGAAACTCAGCTTATCAGGAAGCTGAAAATGTCTTCAAGATACAAAAATGTTGGAGGGCAAGACTGCATTTTCGGCCACAGTCACATACAGGAGTTACAAGATTTTATGACAAGCTTGAGAAGGAAGGAAATGCATACAATTTAAAGAAAGGAATGTGGGAACTGTGTTACAGGTTTTGAGTGTATATGCCACGAAGCCACAGACACTGGATGAATGACGATATATGATTAAGATCCGCTGTACTCTCGCGCCAGTTGAAATCATATAATATTTTGTCGACTAATTCTGTTGCATTGCAGACATGTATTTCTGGCAGTGGCGGTTTCGTGTGGAATATTTATAGCTTGTACAGCTATTAACGTCCAGAGACTATAAACATTATTTTAGGACACGTTGTATGAATAAATTATGTATCTGCTTTACATTTAAAAGAAATTAGTGCTGAGCAACTTAAGGGCTGAAGAGAATTAAAATTTCAGACTGTTACATAGAGCAAATATTAAGGGTATCGGATCCGAATTTTCATTAGTCAGTTAATTAATAATAGCAAAGCACACCACGGACCTCTCGAATACACGCCGAGTGTGATGACTACTGCACCACGAAGGCGGAAGAAATACCTTATATACCTTATGAGATAAAGAGGATAGACAAAGCGATGATTAGTGGATTGATCAATTGCTTGAGACTAGGCACACGAGGACTCTGTGCCCAAGAGGAGGGATTCCTTCGTAAAAGAAAACTGGCTCACCATTCACATTAAACAGCGTCGAACGGATTATTTAGCCAAATGCCACCAAAATTACGTTATATTATAAAATTCGATATCTTTAATTTTAAGCGAACTAACTGTCATCTGAAAGCTGTCATATGTATAAATCGTCTTACACCAGTTTGTAACAAAACAATTATCTGCGAACATTTAGCATAAATTTATAACAATATATATTTAAAACCTCTGACAGATTTGATTATGAAAATAAGTTTTACATACCGTTCATATAGAACTGATCTATGTCCAGAGGGGGCAATGAGAAACTCTCTACGCACCACTCGAGCCATGTAACAACATGCTGCCTCGACCACTGACGAGGATCTTGAGCTGGAATAGACGGGAAGATTAAGCTATGTAACATCAAGAATGTCAAATTATTGAGGATCGTTCAATGCATAAGGATTGTTTAGTCCTTAAGGAGTATGGCTGCTAGTAAAGGTGTTGGAAACGTCTAACTCAGAAGGCCTTTGGCCCCTCAACTGTCGCGCCATGGATCATGATGATAGAATAAAAGAAAGAGTCTGTGTGAATGTGTCTTTCGTTCGTGCAGCGCGTAAGCTAATAGACCCAGGGCTACGAAATTTGGTACATAGGTGCATCTGGACAAGAGCCAGTGTATGCCGAAGCGAGTTTTTCGAAATTCGAATCACACTTTTTTAAAATTTTATCTTTTTTGATGAAATCGCATCATTTTGACTAGTTTCATTCTTTTAGAAATGTGGTTTTGGTAACAGTGTTTCATGCAATGCTTTGTATACTGGACTGCTGACTATTGAAAATATGACATAAAATATCTATTGCTTATTTTCACTGTTTTTAAGATACTAAAAAGTTTAGCATGATTCTTTTTATCCAACGGGAAGTTGATTAATTTATTTATTAGGATAATTAATATTTGTATTAAGGGATATCGCTTATTTCATGCTGCTTGTTTTCTTTGATTTTTGGACGCGCACATCGCAATCTTCTTACTCTGACGCGCATGTGTCTCGCAAGGAACAGAAGGAATTTTCTTTTTTTCTTTCCCTCTCTCTCTTTATTAGCTAATGGCAAAGATGTTTGTATATTCTGAATTATGTCATCCACAAAGCACAATTTTGATTGGTTATTGCTTTTTGATAATAGTTTCATTCTTTTAGAAATGTGGTTTTGACAACAGTTTTTCATTCACTGCTCTGGATACTGGACTGCTGACTCTTTTCTCTTGAAAATATGAGATTTATTGTTATTTCATTGTAATTTTTTTATATTATGTTTTAATTATATTAAAGTTTTTGCATGATTTTTTTTTTAGGAAACAAAGTTCTTAACTTCCTTCATACTATTTGAATTCTTGAGATTTTGCAACGGGAAGTTGGTTAATTTATTTATTAGGATATTTAATATTTGTATTAAGGGATCTTGCTCATTTCATTGTAATTTTTTTAATAGGCGATACATTTTTATTGATTTTTTTGATAAAGTTGTTTTGCAGAGTGAAATTCTATGCAGCATTTAAATTTAATGTTTGGTGCTCCCTCATTTTACAAATGTTTCAAATGTTTACACAGACAGCTAATATATTGATTAAAGCCAGTTGCTTTTACATATCTATTAGAATTTCTGAACAGTTTTTTAAGATGAAATTTCACTTCGCTTATCTCAATAATTTTATTGGTCACATATTGCAAAAATTACGAATAACAATTTTGTGATTATAACTGCGTTAAAAATAAAATTTTCTTAGCCCGTTAAATGTTTCTGTAATCCACAATAGAAAACATCAAGAGAAAAAATATTTGTATTGAAAAGTAAATGGCGTAATGATCTCATTTCTGGTTGTGATAATGTTTTTTATTTTTTTCAATTTTAGCATTGGAATCCGATGTTTTCTGATTATTTCATAGTAAATTTGTAGAGTCATTAGGTTATTTTGAAGCAGGATACATGAGAAATGAACAATACCCTCGCCGGGACTCGAACCACGGACTTCTCCAATACGCGTCGAGCGTGCTGACCACTACACCACGAAGGCATGCTAAGAAGGCGGGAGAAATACCTTATAAATTAAAATAATAATAATATATATGTAGAATGTTCTTTTCTAAAGGAATGTTCTTTTCTAAGGAAAGGATGCTTTTGTGAAGGTCTAATTCTAAGAACAATTAGCTCGTATTTAAGTTACATTTAAGTGAAACCATGAAAACGCTTATGTAGCCAGTCCGTTTGTTGGGACTTCAGCTCGGTTCAGTGGTTATAGCCGGCTTGCAGTCTTATTTTGTTTCTTAAATGGCAGTTCTCATATTGAATCTTGCGACATGATTTTACCTAAAAGCATACGAAGAAAACTAGCATAGGTCTTGAAAGTGTTTTATGCTTTTTTTTGTGCCACATCCTTCAGCAAACGTTTCCTTCTTTAATGATATCAAAACAATTTAGGAAAGCAGATAAAGCTCAGAACTGTCGAAATGGTTCAAGTAGCAACAAAATTTTGATTTCTGTAAATTAATAATAACATGTCACTAAAGGAAAATAACTAATGAATAGTGTTATCAGAAGAGATAAAAAAATAAAATACACGGGGCCCACCAGCGGCCGAGCGGTAAAGTCGCTGAACACTGGTAGTTCGGTCCGAGGTTCGAATCCCGCGAACGGGCTGGCTGCATGGGTGTTTTCGTGGTTTTCCCCCTCAAATTCGAACTGCTAATTCTCAGCAGTCAATTTTCCCTTAGAAAGTCCTCCACGAAAGGCATCCCTCCTCTTAGGCAGATAGCCCTAGTGTGCTTTGCCATAATTAAATACACACACATACACATAAAATACACGGTGTGTCCACAATATTCTACAACTGAATTCATAAAAAATCGAGATCTGAAGAAAACAGCTTTATCAGTGTTTGGCCTTCTATGTGCATTCCTTGTGATAACCGTACTTCCCTTGGCACTTTCACAGGGTTTCTAGAATGTTTCATAAAAAGACCAGAATCACGTCGCAAAAGGGGTACGAAAATAGTCTTTTACGTAATCCCACAGGGAAAAGTCACACGGTGTTAAACCTGGTAAACGTTGGGGGGGGGCATGGAAAATCACCGTCATCATCGGAAGCCCGCCCAATCCAACGACGAGGTAATTGGTAACTGATTTAACTCAGGTAATTGTGTGATAAGATACTCACGCACATACCGCAGAAATTAGAGTGGAGCTCCATCTTGTTGGAAAACGTCATCCTCATATTCATGTAACTGCAGCATTAACAACAACTGTAGCATATCCATGTACACTACACCGGCCACTACATTGCCAACTGCAATTATAAATATCTGTACTGTTTCTGTACTTAGTGCAAGATTCGTTTATGCTATATTCGTTTTAGATTTTTTTTACTGTAGAGTTTTGAAATCCCGGACGGAAATATGAATAACTTGATATTGCTTGTTGGAACGATTATGGCACAGCGCATGAGGCTTTACGCCATACGATAGTAGTTAGCGACGCTGATTGCCATATCGAAAGGCCCGGGTTCCAATCCCGAAGAAGGCATGGATGCTTGTAAATGTATAGTGTCCGGCATGGGGGCACTATAAATATGCGGCTAGTTGAAAGACTTTTCGAGAGGTTGATGGTGGGTAAGAGGGGTAGGAGACCCTCGGAAACGTTCCCTCTAGATGCTCTCCATCAAAATTGGGGGTGGAACTGAGCAAAGTTGTACTGTCACCTGCTCGGTGTTCAAGGCTCTTGCCAACGACAGGCGCTATCCTGGACTCCTTGCTGTGATAAAGTTCGCGAGCTTATTCTGATGTCACTGTCAGAAAAGTGAGATAAGTCACAATAACAACACAACTGCCTTCATGGAGAGAAGTTTGGTTTTTCTACGAGAAGCTGACTTGTATTCACAATGTAAATGCCGCCAGTTCCCTCAAATTCGAACTGCTAATTCTCAGCAGTCAATTTTAATCCTCACCAGCACTCCATTTGGGAACTGACTCATGCAAAATTAGATAGTATGGTGGTTACTTTTGCTTACCAATTGCTATAAACGGTACAAACGAAGATTTGTCTAGAACTATGTAAAGTTGCGCGCTTCCAACCTGCACGCAACAAAGTGGTGACTGCTGAGAACTGGAAATAGACCAAAGTCTTGAGAAGGGTTTAAATCCCTTTTTATTCAACTTTAGAAATTACAAATGCGTGCTCTTGACGCTCACAAACTACGCCGACCCGGCGGTAAAATAAAAATAAGAAACTGAAAAGAGATAACAAGTGACTAACTACGAGGCTCTCTAAACGTAACTAACCTCACCGCGTTCTAAAATACCACTGATCATTCAGCAAACTCTGAATATTACGTTGAAAGATTAACAATTTGCCGAGGCAAGCACACAGGCCGAAACGCGTGGTTCTTCAATTTCTAACTAGCCACCTCCACACTCGTGAAGTAAGAAAGCACACTTTCGAACTCGTTTCCTTTCTATTTAACTCACAATACTTCCGCTGATAATTTGAATCCTTGCGCGTTCTACTAAAATTTACATACTCTGGCATTGGCAATTCTAGGGGAAAGTAAGGCTTGACAGGAAAGATAGTTTAAACTTAAAATAAATGTTAGTTAAAATAAATATAAACCCTACAACTAGATTAGGGATCTTTAAACTGCATTCCGCTGAATTTTGAGGTTAATTTTTCACAACGTGCGAGCAATATTATTATATTTTCGATGCCTTTTATAATAATTACTTTTTCTGAAGATATTAAGTGGTCTAACTCCCCCCCCCCCGCCAAGAAAAGGAAATATCGTTTTATGTTTTCCTAAATGGATACCACTAAACCGTAGAGATACAGGAGCGGCGATTTAAACAATAAAGCAAGTTCTACCGTCTTTTTCCGAAAATAAGACACTGTCTTACTTTCTTTTTTGGTCCAAAATACGCGCTAGGGCTTATTTTCGGGGGAGGGCAAAAATAAAAGTATATTTATACATTTTTATTTAATATTTATATTACACAGAATACAGAAATTTAAATTTATTCAATTACAGTCATGTCATCTTCTTCTGGAACATCTTCATAAATAAAATTCTGAATTATATTCTGATTTTCTTTCAAATCCATTTTCTGTTGAATCATTGGTCCGAATCTCTCATGTCTTGCGATATACCGTATATACCCGCGTATAAGTCGAGATATTTTGGACAAAAAAAAAGACTTCAAAGTGGGGGGTCGACTTATACGCGGGGCCATAAAAAATTAAAAGAATCGGAAGTTCAAAAATTTCTTTATATAATGCAGATGTTTTCTTCCCGCACTCAAATTGGACGACTTATCAAATAAGTCACTTATTTGAAGTAATTTC